CTGGACTGGAGACAGGGTGGTGCTGCAGGGTGGGCTGTGCTGGTAAGAGCACACTGGGAGCTGTGGTGTGTGGCTGTGTGGTTATCCCCAGCCCTGCTGAGCAGCACCTCCTCATCAGAGCAAAGGCAGCCAGGACAGAGTTAATCTGCCTCCTGTCCTTGGGTGTCCTCTGCACAGCATGGAAGCAGCCTCCCTGAGGAGAAGCTGTGGTGCCCCTGGGAAGCCTGGGAGCTCTCTGATGCTCCTCGGGGCAAACTTTTTGCCCGTGAGCCCAAACAAGCAGAATAATTTCACGCTGGCTGCGCTGTGCCTGGCACGAAGGGCTCCTCAGGGAGCCATGGGTCGGACCTGAGTGTCTCCTGTTCATGGCAGAGCGGAGGTGTTGGGCGAAATTCAGAAGACAGTCTCCTCCCAGGATGCTGGGGAGGCAGTGCAGACACAGGGCAGCTCCCGGGGGTCTCTCACTGCCCCACTCCTGTGCCGGCACCTGCCTCAGCAGCGATCAGCACCGATGGCAGGGGCAGGGACGGCTTGCTGCCGAGGGGTATTTAAAGGGATGGTGTGGAAACGGGCACAACTCCTTTAAGGCTGGGCTCAGCAAGCCGTGCAGGCCGAACCCTGCCCGCGGGTGCAGCCGCAGTCGCTGTGCAGCGCTCATACCAATGCGCGTTCGGCGGGAGCGGCGCAGCCACTGCCGGGAGCTGCCAGCGCATCCTCGGCCCGCCCGCTCCGCAGGTCCCGCGGCACGGCATCACCTATTTATAACTGCACGCACTGCAGGAGCAGTATTAGACTGATGGCTTCACACAGTCACGCTAAGCGTTGCTCTGTTTCTGTGATCTGCTCTTCTTCACAAGCTGTTGGTCTCCTGGATGCCAAAACACTCTGCGTAGTGTAGACAAAGACTCTCACTTTTCATTTTTATTAAAATCTTCACCACCAGCACCAGTCCTTGGCATATTTACCAGTTTTTCCCAGGCCACCTTGAGTAATTGCATCTACTATTCCTTCCCAGTCCGATCGATATCCTTGGTAAATAACATAACCTGTCAGCTCTGTTGTTGCTGCAGACAAAGGTACTTTAGCAATGAAATTGTTTTGCTGGAGAAATAAATACTTCTCACTGAATCTGAGGATGCTGTGACCTTTCATCAGTGACCTGAGTGACTCATCCCTTTTTGTGTGCACACTGCAGTCTCCTACCATGCCATAAGAGGTGTTCCACAAAGTCCCACTGCCCGGAGTAATGGGGAGCTGAATCCTGTGGGAGCCTCCTGCTCACGCTGCTTCTCCTCCAGCTTCACACCTTGCCTGGGCCTGGGGGCTCTCACATTATGGCAATGCCCTGTTTACCCAGCAGAGACCCTGTGCACCATCTGATTTCCACAGCAAAGTCCCTGGCACACCCAGCCCCTGTCTGCAGCAGCTCCTGCTCTCCCTGGCTCTGGAAATCTCTGGCACAAAGGTATAAGCCCCTGTTCTCAGCACAGGGCAGCCAACCCACACTTGTTTGGCACTCAGGGCTTCACTGGCCATACCAACACCCCTGAATTGAGTGGGGGAGCTCAGTCAGAGCCAGGTTTTAGCCAACCTGTGCAAAATGAAACAAAGAATTAATCAGAGTTGAGTTCCATGCATTTAACTGCTGCTGATGGTGATATTTTCTTCTTGTAGAGTGTTTTGCATGCCAAGAAAAATAGTTTTGCATTTTGGAGGAAAAAGGTAGTTGCACATCTGTGCATCTGTACGTGTGCCTGTTATTTCTGCCTGACTGGCTTCCCTGGGTTGTCAGCTCAAAAGTTCTCTGTAATATAACAAATCTTGACTGTGTTTGCAATAAATCCTCAACCAAGAGGGGTTTATTTAATGAAGCAAGAAATGCTGCCAAATTTCCATGCTTGATCCTGATCCCATTAATGTCAGCAGGAGAATTCCCACCATATTTGATTTATTGGTTGGGTCTAATCTGCGTAAAGGAGTTAAAAGTCTGCTTTCAGTTTCCTGTTGCAGATAAGATCATTGCAGATAAGATCATTGCTCCACAGTGCTATGACAGAGAGGCTGTGGGAAAAGCAGACAGCAAAACAATCCTCTCATCTGATTTGAGGCACCTTCAAACCTGACAACACATAGCCAAGGGAGGGGAAGAAGGACGTTCAGCTCATCACAAGCCAGGAGCCCAAAAGAGGTGACGGTTCAGGATGTAACCATGGCACAGCAGCTCCAGTGGCACCGGCCCCCTCCTGCCAGCAGCAAATGCTTGTGTGTGGCCCTTCCAATGGCTGGCAGAGCTGCTGGGAGAAGGGGAAGGGGGATTAAGACAGCTCCCCACCTTCCCTGTCCCTTTACCCACTCCCTAAAATGTGCTGTGTCCCCCCTTCCCATGCCACAAGTGGGGACCGGGACAGACCGGGAGCTGCCCATGCTGGTTGCTCCAGGGACAATTCCACCCTTCTGGTCCGAGGGGATAAAGAGCCCTGGGGAGGTTTTGAGCAGTCAGCAGTGCCCACACATTTTGAGCAGGTCCCCTGAATGTCCCACAGAGAGCAGCAGCTGCTCTTTGGGAGGGAAGGAGCCTCCCTGGCAGTGAGGGCAGGAAGGAGGACTGGAGGAAGAAAAACTGGAGGAAGGAGGGCTGAAGGACTGAGGGCTGCTTTGTTGTCCCATCACCAGCTGTGAAGAAGCTCATGTGCCAATGGTTGACCCTTAATTACACACACAGCCAATGAAGGGAAGGAGCTCATTATCCCCCCACCCAGTTCAGAGGGGGAAACAGCATTGTCTGAGAATAAAGGAGACTGCAAAGCAAGAGATTAAAAAGAAAACAATCCAACCTCAAATATCTGAGACATCAGCCCAACACACGGATCCTTACTGGCTTTTGCTGATTTGACAGATGCAAGATACAGAAAAATGAGGAGATTTCTGGCTGCAAATGTCCCTGGGACTCAGATGCTTCTCAGGATACAGGTCTTTAAATCATCATTAACTGTGATGTGAGGGGGCACTGGAGAAGGTGGATCTGGACACAGAGATGCTGAGGGCAAGAGCAGAGTTTTCTGGCACTTCCTACACAGCCCTCCCTCCCCAGGGTGTGGTGATGCTTTTTTTTCAATCAATCATGCCAAAATCAAGCACTGACAGGATGCTGCAGCTTCCATGGGCTGTGGGAGCCCAAGCTGGTTCTGTGGGGAGCTGTAACACCTTGGATAGGATCCATGTGTGAAGATGGAAGAGGAACTGGACAGCTTTCAGAGGCGTGGGTACTTTTTCAGCAAAGGAGGAGAAGAGTTCAGAGCTCTGGAGAAGCCCAGATCTGGGGAGTGTGTGCAAGGAGCAGGGACCAGACCTGATCCTAATGTCCCAATCTTCCCTGGAGGATTGAGAAGAAGAGATTGGGAGAAGAAGATCTCATTTGCAAATTTAAGCTTTGTCCTCTGGATGAGGTGGGAGCTGGATGTTTCAGGACTCTGCTGGACTTCTGAGTGGTGCTGAGCAGACTCCAGGCACCGACCTCAGTGCATGCCTGTCCCAGATCACTCTGCTGGCTGCCTGCAGTCTCCCTGTCTGCAGAGAACTGGGAAGCTCATCATCGCTCCCTGAACAGGCACGTCCCAGCCCACCGACCCCCTAGTTCCCATAAAGCTTTAAAAGAAGCCAGACGACTCACAGCTGAAAGCAGAAGGTGTTTATTTGCACTTTAGACATATTAACGGGGCTGAAGTCCAGCCGTGTGCCCCACAGGTGGGTCTGTGCGAGGCACCGACAGAGAGAAATGTCAGGCAAAGGGCAAATGGGGTGTCAGTGTGTGGGGACTGCTGCCAGGAAGGGGCCACCGTCTGCGGGTCAGCACCTTCGCAGAACGAGCTGATTTAAACTCACAACCCACTTCCTTCAGCCGAGCTGCAGGAAGGGCTGTTGTTGCAAATCACTTTGTTTCTCTGAGGGAACCGAAACATTTGAGCTTTTCCTGGTGGGTAAACGCCCGGAGTGAAAAACACTCCCCGCCCCGAGGCAGAGATCCCCCAGCCCCAGCTGATGACAGTGACTGCCCTCGCCGCCGAATCCTGCAGCGCTGCTTCTCTGTTTCTGCACGTCTCATTTTTACGAGACACATCTCACCCCCTCGCAAGGCTGGGTGCAAGATGCAAGCACCCACCCGAAGGTTTGCAAACTCTCCCGGGATTTGCCTGCTGTAAGCAGCGGTTCAAGCTATCGCAGTCGTTTGCCTTTCAAAATAAAATCCCAACCAACAGCCTCCAAAAACTTTAAAATGCCCGTTTGTTGGTGTCTGCTATATGCTCTTCCAAAAGAGAGTGAGTAATGCTAAAAATCTTTTTACTTCTGCAAAGGAGGTGGGCAGTAGAGGATCCCACAGATCCTGAAACAGCTCAGTCATCCAGGAACAACTAGCCCAGGAACTGGCACAGCTTAGTCATGTATTTAAAATCTGACTTCTTTAATGGATATTTCCATTTCTAAAACACCTTCCCCCTGCAAAAAAACGCACTCTCAGCTGTCCTGTGATGCAAGTAGTGTCCTCTCCTTAGATGAAAGAGGGAATCCTTTCTCAGACACATCCAGTGGGGGAGAGGGGATGCAGCAGGGGGACAAGGCATCATTTGCCCCCCCATCCCTCACTCATCGAGGAGCTTGGTGAGCGTCCAGGAAGGAGGGGGATGTTAACCAGCTCAGATTGCTGCATTGGATGCTGGAGAGAAATATTTCCAGACTGGAGCAAACGTGATGTTCATCTCTCTCCATCTCCGGGTGTACTGTAGGCAAAATGGTCGAGTTGAGTAGCTTTGCTCTTAAAACCTGGTCCCAGTTTGCTCTCCAATGCTGACAGTCCTGTCTATCCCTTGTGCCAGATGGGAGCCCATGATACTGCAGCCACTGTCTCTGCAGAAGAGGTGTCAGTGTGGGGGCTGCTCCCAGGAAGGGGCCAAGCACAAGCTGAAGTGGTGCATCCTTTGTGTAGGGGGGTGGCATTGGGTACCTCAGAGTGCATCAGAAGCCTCCTCCTTAGAAAGGATTGTGCCCCCCTTCCTCTGATCTGCCTGGCAAGAGGTTTTCCTGCTGAAGGTGGTCCCCAGCTGCTGTCTGGCTCTTTGTCGGACGCTCCTTATCCGTGACATGCAGTCTTTGCCCGTGATCACATAGAGCAGGGGGTTGAGGGCACTGTTGAGGCTGGCCAGGCCCCGGGTTACCTGGTAGGAAACGTAGATGTTCTTTGAAGCCTGTGTGCAGAACCCTTGCAGCTGCCAGACACGGGACAACAGATTGAGGTTCCTGAAGATGTGGTAGGGGAGGAAGCAGATGGAGAAGAGAACCATCACGAGAACCACCAGTCTGATGCTTCTTCTCCTGAGCTCGAGGTCCATGGTGTCGTTCCTGCAGAGCACAAACACCACATGGCAGTAGCACCCGAGGATGATGAGGAAGGGGATGATGAACCCGGTCACGGTGACAGCCAAGGTGTAGGGCAAGTAAACGTCCAGCTTGTTGTGCCCCGTCGTGTCGTGGCACCGCGTCCCCGTGTCGTCCGTCTTGCTGAAGGCAAGATCAGGAGCCACCTGGGCAATGACCCACGCCCAGACTGCCACGCTGAGCCACGGAGAAGAGGAACCCCCCTGGCACCGGCCCCGTGCCTTCAGCGGGTGCACGATGCCCAGGTAGCGGTGGATGCTGATGCAGGTGAGGAAGCCGATGCTGGCGTAGAGGTTGAGGTGGAAGAGGCTGCGGGTGGTCTGGCACCAGCCCTGCCCGAAGAGCCACACTCTGCCTCGCAGGTAGTAGCTGACGAGGAAGGGCAGGGTGCTGACGTACAGCAGGTCTGCCAG